CGGATGGAGGAGGAGGCTGCGAGGAAGAGGAAGATGCCTTGGGCCCCCCAGGCAGGTGAGGAGGAAGTCAGTGTCCCTTTGGGCGGGTGTTGTGCTGGCTCTGGCAGCCGAGCATGGCCCCCGGCTGCAGGACAACCCCGCTGCCGCCGCCGTCCTGCCGGGGCCGGAGTTGGGGGGATGTCCTTGGCCTTCCCTGTGGGCCGGAGGCAAATCCCCTCCCTGTCCTTCTTGCTTCCTGCCCCAGGCCCCGAGCTGAGGACGGAGAGCCCGGAGGACAAATCCCCCCGTGAGACCCTGGTGGGAGAGGCCGTTTTGAAGGGCTCCACGGCGCAGGAAGGCAGCGGGGAGGAAAAGAGCCGGAGATCCCCCCACAGGAGGGGCTCCAAAGCCAGCCCAGGGTGCTCTGAGGAGGAAAGACCCAGCCTGTGCCGGGAAGGCGGCCGGAGCTTGAGGCAGAGCTCTGACCTGGTGGTTCCTGAGCAGCCTCCCAGCAGGGAGAAGCCCTTTGGGTGCTTGGAATGTGGGAAGAGCTTCAGGAAGAGCTCCCACCTGATCCGACACCAGCAGATCCACACTGGGGAACGTCCCTACCCATGTAGGGAATGTGGGAAGAGCTTCAGGGACAGCTCCAACCTGATCCGACACCAGCACATTCACAGTGGGGAACGGTCCTACACGTGTGGGGAATGTGGGAAGAGCTTCAACCAGAGCTCCCACCTGTTTAAGCACAGTCGCATCCACATCAGGGGATGGCCCTACACATGTGGGGAATGTGGGAAGAGCTTCAAGCACAGCTCCAACCTGACCCAACACCAGCATATCCACACTGGGGAACAGCCCTACACTTGTGGGGATTGTGGGAAGAGCTTCAGGCACAGCTCCAGCCTCCACACCCACCAGCGCCTCCACACCGGGGAACGACCCTACACGTGTTGGGAGTGCGGGAAGAGCTTCAGTGACAGCTCCAACCTCCGCACCCACCATCTCATCCACACTGGTGAACGGCTCTACATTTGTGGGGAATGTGGGAAGAGCTTCAGCAGGAGCTCCAACCTCCGCAACCACCAGCTTATCCACACTGGCGAACGGTCCTTCAAGTGCTTGGAATGTGGGAAGAGGTTTAAGACCAGTGCACATCTCCTCCTGCATGAGCGGATACACACGGATGAGAGGCCCTTCCGCTGCACCGACTGCGGGAAGGGCTTCAACCGTAACTCCACCCTTGTCATCCACCAGCGCATCCACACCGGGGAGAGGCCCTACAAGTGTAGGGAGTGTGGGAAGAGCTTCACCAACAGCTCTAAGTTGACCAGACACCAACGGACCCACCGGTAAAGGAAGCCCTACCAGTGCCCCGACTGCGGGAAGAGCTGTGGCCGCTGCTTCCACCCCGAATGAAGCCCCTGATGGTGAGGCAACCCCTGGAGTCCAGTGACTGTCAGTCCATCCCTTTTGACCACAAAGGGCCAGTCCCCTTTCCCAGGGGCAGGTTCTTCCAACAGAACCCTTCTTGGGGTGTGTGTGGAGATTCCTGCCTTGGCTGGGGACCCCCCAAGGTCAGTTCTGGAGGTTGAGAGCAGAGATCTCCCCACGAGCGTTGGTCTGGGGGAGTTCCATCCATCTCTAATTAAGAATTCTTGCTTTTGTGCCAGCTTGAGTAGAATTGCTTCAACAATTGCTTTAGTGTAGAGCACTGTCCTATCTTATCCTGTACTCCTGGTAGTTTTAGTGTTTGTATTGTGCAGTAAATAATTCTGATGAAGATCTATCTGATCATTTGTAACCCTAAGTAAATTCATTTCTATCAATGGATCTGATTGGCCATCATTAAAAGCTGGGGGACCAAAGTGATTCAGTCACACCTTTGTAATTCCTCTAAACTGAATGTGTTGGCATAATCTGATGCCTTAAGACCCTTTTAGTTTTTTTTTTTTATTTTTCTGATTTTTATAAGCTTTATATGTAATTATAGTAGAAGTAGATTTTAGAAGTAGCTGTATTATATTCCTCATCCTTTAGCACAAGTACTTTACATATTCCTCAACCCTCTTACCCCATTCCATGCTCCCTATATCAATTCTACTCCTGAATTCAGTAGAAATGTTTAGTCTCTTGTCAAAGCAGGCCTGGTAGTTGAGAGGTTACAGTAACACCTTTGTAATCCTAAGGTAACGAGTTTGAATCCTAGTGTGTATTTTGTTTGTGTTTTGCTGTCGTGGGTTGTGTGGATTCAAAGTTTAAGATTCCTAAGGAATCTCCCCCTGAGTTTGGTTTTGAAACACTGGAAAACTTTGACTGGTTCTGAGACAACTTTAAAAAAGGAAGAACTTTGTAGGCTGTCTGTAGATGCTTGGCCTCTGTTTGGACAAATGAGAGGAGTGACTTGGAATTTGGTTCTTTTGAACTAGACACAGTGTTGCAATTAATTTCTCTTTTTAATGTAGAACAGAAATGGGAAGAAATCCAGTTTGCAGAGTTGTTTTTGTTTCTATTAACACACCCTGGATTGGGAGGGGGAGAGATAAGAAAAACAAAGGCTCAAAAGAGACAGAAAAATCAGAAATGGCTTTAGGAAAAGGGAAGAAGAAAAGTCGAGTTAAGGCTGCTCCCGTCCCACAAATTTTATTTAAAGTTTCATTTAAGTTCCTTTCTCACTGGTTGAGTTACAGCAATGGAAGGATTCTGTAGGGGCATATAGAGATAACCCAGAGAGAGCAGCAAACTATGTCCAGAGAGCAATCAAAACTCAGAACCCTGACTGGTATGACCTGGAAGTTATGATGGATACTTTATTAGATCAAACAGAGAAGGAAATGGTAAAAAGGGCTGCTTGAAATGCAATTGAAATGTTAAAAACTTCTGGGCAGTTTCCAGGGGAAGATATTAAGGACATCTTCCCCCCCTGACGATCCCAAATGGGATACTAACGTACCAGCAAATCTGGAAGCATTGAAACATTATCAAGACAGGGTAATTTATGGATTCCGGCGTGGGGTTCCAAAGGCGATAAACTGGGGTAAGTGAAACAAGGCTATTTTTTTAAACCTTTGAAATTCAAATTGGGCAAGCACTAGGTAACTCACCGATTTCTTTGCATGCCAAATTCTCCTAGGCCTTTACTGGGTAGAGATTTATTAGAAAAATTAGAAGCTGAAAATAAATTCTGCAAGGGGGGAGAAAAAAAAGTTATAATTCCAGATACTAAATCCAGATTTAATACTCCCATCCTACCGGTGAAAAAGACTGATGGCAAAAGCTATCGGCTGGTCCAAGATCTTAGGGCCATCAATAAAATAACTGAGGGCATCTACCTGGTGGTAACCAACCCTATACACTGTTAACCACTTTGACAGAAGGTTTCGGATGGTTCACTGTACTTGATCTTAAAGATGCCTTTTTCTGCATTCCTGTACACAAAGACAGCCAAGAGCTTTTTGCCTTTGAGTGGGAAAATCCTGAGACAGGGAGGAAAACACAACTAACCCGGAGAGTCCTTCCACAAGGCTTTAAGAACAGTCCAACAATTTGGCCCTGAAAACGGCCAAAGAGGGAGTTGTAACGTGGACAGAGGAGACCAGAGATGTGTTTAAACAACTGAAACAGTCCTTGATGTCAGCTCCAGCACTAGGATTACCAGATTTAACTAAACCTTTTGAACTGTTCACACACGAGCAGTTGATGCCAATTTGTGCCCCAAAGAAGGCGCGGAGAAACTGCTCAGAGACGAATTTTCAGTCTATAAGCAGGAGGTATTTATTTATTTACGGCCGGGGAGCAGCCCAGGTCACCCTGGACAAACTGCTCTGCTCGAGTAACTTA